ATAAATTATTTTGAGAGCTGTTTTGATTTAAATGTTATGTTTGTGTGTTACAGTATCATCGTAGCTTCGTGGCAGATAACTCCGCCCATTGCGCTTCGGGTTGGTGAGTGAAATATTTTTTATCAGATGTAAGGGTGTAAAAAGGCTATCTACAATCTTATTATCAATATAATACAAGAGTACGTAATTGTATAATATATACAAATTTTACAGATTTATTGCTCTAAATTATTTAAATTAATATAATTAAGATGTAATTGCGACAATTTTGATTAGAACGCGACTAACGTAAGATTTTTATCATTTTTTGATGATAATATTACTATTAATTCTTTTTACGTTTTGTCGCTTTGAATATTATTCTTCAAAAAAGTAAATTTGCGTATTATTAAGAAACAAAATACAAAATTGTATTAAATTTAATTAGTGTTTTATTAACGATCGTTTCTCTTATTCCGGTATGATTACGTGCTCTTAATTATTGTAATATTTGTAATTAATCGTAACATAATTATTGCCTGCTGATGCTGTAAATCAGCTGGCAAAGGAGTTTTATCTCCTCATTCTGTGGCTGACAGCCACAGTCAGATTGGATTTGGCCAGGCACAGCGTAATAGGTAAGTCCAATCTGGCCAGAAAAAACTACGCCACTGTCTTGTAAAGTAAGGTCTATATTGACCAAATTGAAAATACGTGCGTACTTATAGATATTAAAAAATTATTACTACAATTATTACGATTACGGGGGGTTATTAATCGGGAGGGAAAATTGCTCGCATATTAAATGGCGAATTCTTATATTTTTCAAATTAGTGTCTACTTTCCATATTTTTTCTAATCGCGATAATCCCGTTAGATTTAACCAATACTTAATAGAACATGTATTAAATACTCATGTTTTTTTATACTATAGAAATTATATACTACAATATTATGGTGGGAAGGGGGTTATTAATCGGGAGGGTAACTTGCTTGCATAAATTAAATTGCTAATATTTTTTTAATAATTGTCTATTTCCCATATTTTCCCTAATTCCGTTAAATTTAATCAATACCCAATAACATATATATTAAACATTCACGTATCTCAATCCACGATTTTATTGCATATTTGTGCAGTTAGTGAAAATGCGTAGATAGGATTACGTGAAAAGGCATGATTAAATAAAAATAAAGGTAGGCAGGAAAATAGAGAATTACGGATTGGTAGACATTCAGGGACTAAAAATAATATAATGTCATATAAGAAATTAAAAATTAAATACTGTAAATTAAATAATATTTAACGCCGCGATATTAAATTTCTTTTTAAAAATTTAATACAACTAAACATAATAAAATAAACGTACATAATAAACTATATAATATTGCAGATAAAAATACACAAATAAGTAATCACGAATGAATAAAAGTACTGGTAGGCAGGAAAATAAACAACGTAACAGTAAAGATTGTTTAATTTTGATAATTTAAAAATCATTTTAGAGATATATAGGCATCACAATTTTATATTTGATTGGAAAGAAAGATTTAAAATTAATTTTAAATTTTATTCAATTTTTAAGAAATTAATTTTTTTGTAAAATTATACTTTTTTTTTTAAATTTATACAATTTGTAAAATTATACGTTAAAAATGAAACATATTAGTGTAATTTAATTTTATTGTAAACAAAATCATATGTATCATTAGATATATCGTATAAAATTTATGTAATATTATGTCCAGATAAATGTCGTCATTACTTTTTACGATAATTATCAATAAATTATCTATTTATATTTTAGAATATTTTAGTATATACATGTACCTACATATCGAATACATATTTATACGATGCATTTATCTGGCCTTAGTAAGTCAAATTATCATTAAATAATGTAAATTTCACGAAATCGATGAAATGCGTATGATAACAAGAAATTTATTAAATTAATGTTTTTGATGAATATTTAATTGCAAAAGTTTTAAATTCTAAATTTTGAATTTTATTTTAGTACCGAATGGCCATTAATAATTTCGACTTAAATCTCCAATTTGCTGTTTAAAAGTATTGTCAATTATTTTCATAACATGTAATATACAAATTTATTAAATAAGATATATAAGATTTAAGGTTTGACTGAATCAATGATCAAATATTGGCTCACAAAATTTGACGGCAATATTTATGAAGTTGTTTCCGCAATATTTTTGCAACGCATAAAACCTTCCTTAATGAATGTTTTTAAATTATATGTTTAGAAATGTTCCTAAATTATATTTATAAATAATTGTTAAGAAATATTTAAGCATTTATTAATGGCAATTACCAACGCCGCGTCTGTTTCTCATTCTTCTGGAATGCGATTGTTATTTCGATGAGATCTCATCATTGTTCCTTGCGTCAGGTGGGCGCCAGCAAATGCGTGGTTCGTCATAGGAAGTCGAAACGATTTCCATCGTAAAGAGTTATTTCTTGTGGATTTTCATGAGATTCATTCACGATATCTAGTTTGGTGTTCCGTTAAGAGTTGGAGGCTTTTATTACAAGGTCGGAAATAATGCGTTTGTCGGCAGTTTCTGAAAATCTTAATTTTGACAATAAATCAACGATGATCACTATACATATATTTTAAAATCGAGTTGTAAAATTCAATTAATAGTATATTCTGAGATAAGATTTTTT